TTATGTAAGTTTACGTAATTTTGATATTTCGCATTAATTCGAAATAGTTTACGCAATATTACGCTTTTTTTACGTTTCGTAAATTATTTCGAAATATTTCGCCTCATTAAATTTGCGGATGTTGTAAATAATGTGCTTGCAGTTCTTTGGATTGACAATGGACCAGTAACAATGTTAAGTACAGTTCATAATATTACTGGAAGTAAATCTCAAGTTAATTGCTGGTGTCGACGTCTACAGGAAACTAGTTCAAATGCTAAAAAAGTTAGAGAAATTTTTTGTAGCTCTTCACGAAAGCAGTTACCAATTCCAAAACTTGTTAATAATTATAATCACTATATGGGAGGTGTTGATATTGCTGATCAATGACGTTCATATTTTCTTTCCCAACTTAGAACATGTCAGAATTGGTTTTCACTATTTTTTTGGCTACTTGATACATCAATTGTTAATGCCCATACTATTTATACAAATTCTAATAGTAATAATACACAAAATCTACTAGATAGTGAAGAATTTTGTACACATCTTGTTTGGGAACTTATACAAGCTTCAGTAAGCCAAGTTCCTAATACAAGAAATTCACAATATTCAATTACTAATCTTCCTGTTTCAAATGTTAATATTGCTTATGTTAGTAAGAACTTCGAGCTTCCAACATGCCGACAATTGCCTGGCAAGCATTTTTTAGAGTGGAGGGATAAACGAGAGGCATGTATTTGGTATCGCTATCTTGCAAAGAAAAAACAAAAAGAAATTGATAGTAAGAACCCTCCACAAACAAATATGTAGTGCCGTGAATGCAATATTCCACTATGCTGCAACAAAACAAGATCATTTTGTAATTACGAGTTTCATACATTTGGTGAATGATTTTTATAAGAAAGTTTTTAGGATATATACTTTCTTTTCAATAAGATACATTATAGATAGAGTAAAAACTCATTTGTAAGATTAGTATTTCTGAATCATTAAACTCGCTATTGATTATTTATACAAATTATTTACACCATAACGATAAATAGTCGCATAGTAAGAATTACAAGATTATAGATTGGTTCATAATAATAAATAATTGTAAGCATAGTTTTTAGTTTGTACAATTTGTAATTCAGATAGAGTGCTTAAAATCGGAGTAACATGTTTTTTTTATGATTAGTCTTGAATTCTCAGTTATACGCATTATTATCCTAAAATAGCAAATAAGTAGCCAACAAACTAGCAGGTTAGCATATTGAAGGTTTGATTTAAAGAAGTATTGTATATAACAGATATACTATGAATGTATGTAATTCTTGTATAATGAATGCTATAGATAATACCAATATACTAATTAAAATACTTCGATATTTTTGTATAGAATATATTTTTTTTTGAAAAATAATGCCTGAAAAAATCAATACAGTATTAATATATATGTTTTTTAAGGTCAAATGAAAATATATAGGATATGTTTGCTATTAATCCAAAGAGCTTTGGCTGTGAGAGGCTAAGTTCTGGCTATTTCATTTAAGATTCTCCTGATTGGCTAATGGCTAATATATTTAATACTACAGTTTAAAATTCTGATATTTTGATATATGGCAAATTCTAAACGGTACGTCTAACAACAATTTATGATTCGGTTAGATTATTAATGCATATGATTTTAGCGGAGGTAAATATGTATGATTATTAGATAAATTTTTGCAGGCAAATTTGTTTGCAAAAGTCTACGATAAAAGGGATAGTTAAAATAATTTAAAATCTTATTTAAAAAAGGTTAGCTTAATAGCTTTTTAAATGAGCTAAGAGTACCATAGAACAAAGCAATCAGTTCCACATATTTATCCAATAAACTTTCTATAACTCATCTAGGTTAATCAGTCTGGGCCTTGAAGGATAAGTAGATTAGTGGGTCCACCAAAATTTAGCAAATGACCTGTAGATCGCCACCGACCCATCATCGGGATTTACTTATAAATTTGAAAGTTTTTTAAAATTTCTAGTAATGATTTCTCAATAACTACTTGATTGAATTTGGTAAAAATTTTTTTATTTTAATTCTATAATTTTGTAGAATTAAAA